CGAGCTACTCAAAATTTCCGCTACTGGTTCTCCAGAACTGGTCAGAACCTGCTGAATACCACCTCTGATCCTCAGCATTGCTATATCCCAATCTCATCAGCTTTTTTAAAAAAATTATAATGCTATTAACATGCAATCCAAATAGTCATTTTGACACTATCACTTTGGGTTTAAATAAACATTTCAGTAAGATCCAGTTTAAATTTATTTTGTGCATGCAACCAAAAATACAATTTCAATGCCATCTTTGGAATTTTTAGTCAGCATTATTTTCTTTGATAGATGGATAGAAACTTGGATTCAGCTGGGCACAGCTCCCTTATTCTAATTTCATCTAGGACACACAGGTGAAAGCATTAGTCCTATCTCCTAGGTTGACCCCTAGCAAAGCAGTTACAATGGTTTGCTTTCAAGTTCTCTAAGCAACTGGATGGAAATAACCAGGAAATAACATCAGTGAAAGATTTTAAGCTTTCCCCTCAAATGTTATAATCGTGCTTTTTCTGTTTGCTAAGGACACTACAGTGCAGTAGCATCAAGAAAAGCCTATTCTCTGGAGAAAGGGACATACTGCATGCCACTTCGCCTTCCTGTCAAAAAGCAAAATATAACTCTAATAATCGCAAAGAGGCATGTGTGTTCATCCTTTCAGTGCTTTGAACTGTCATTCATAATACACAGATCTGGGACTTATGAAGTGTTCTTTCACAATACAAAGTTAAACAGGCTGAAAGATTTTACCATTTATATTTAATGAAGGTATAACCAACTAAAGTAGCCATACCATAGGTAGTGGAACAAAAAATCTTCCTTGAAAAATGCATAACAAAGTTAAAAAATCCCATCAATCAAGTACTTTTGTTAAGGACAGAACATAATGAGCAGTGTGATGCTTATTCTTTTACATGTATAATTCATTATAAACACACTGGAGCGTCTTCAGACAAGATTATCTGATTACATGCAGTTCATTGTATAACGCAAATAGATTGCTTAAACAACTAAAAATAATTCATATGAAATGAAAGACTAGATAGAGTGATAACTGACAGAAAATAACTCCATACCAGTTCAAACATCTCATTCATATTTCAGAAGCATTCTAGACTAAAATTAAATGTCTCTATAACATAAAAAGAAAATGTGAAACATACAGAATTAGTAACCCAATTCAGGAAAATAGCTATTCTTCTCCTATATAATTCTGACATTTAATTTATATTGAAATGTTACTATTATTATTATTATTATTATTATTATTATTATTATTATTATTATTATTATTATTATTATTATTATTATTAT